AAAGAGCGTCCAGGAGGGTAGGGATGTCAGACGTGGTGGGGACGCGGTGGAGGCGTGGTGGAGGTCCTGGCGCCTGTTTGTGTAGGGTGGGGGGCCTCTAACACAGCACACAAAGAGCGTCCACGAGGGTGGGGATGTCAGACGTGGTGGATGCGCGGTGGGGGTTCCGGCGCCTGTTTGTGTAGGGTGGATGGTCTCTAAAACAGCACACAAAAGGCGTCCAGGAGGGTGGGGATGTCAGACGTGATGGGGCGCGGTGGGGGTCCCGGCGCCTGTTTGTGTAGAGTGGGGGCTTCTAAAACGGCACAAAGAAGGGCGTCGAGGAGAGTGGGGGGTGTCAGACGTTGTGGGAGCGCGGTGGGGGTCTCGGCGCCCTGTTTGTGTCGGGTGGGGGGCGTCTAAAACAGCACACACAGAGCGTCCACAAAGGTGGGGATGGCAGACGTGGTGGATGCGCGGTGGGGGTCCGGCGCCTGTTTGTGTAGGGTGGAGGGTTTCTTAAACAGCACACAAAGAGCGTCCAGGAGGGTGGGGGTGTCAGACGTGGTGGGGGCGCGGTGGAGGTCCTGGCGCCTGTTTGTGTAGGGTGGGGGGCGTCTAAAACATCACACACAGAGCGTCCACAAAGGTGGGGATGGCAGACGTGGTGGATGCGCGGTGGGGGTCCGGCGCCTGTTTGTGCAGGGTGGAGGGCTTCTTAAACAGCACACAAAGAGCGTCCAGGAGGGTGGGGGTGTCAGACGTGGTGGGGGCGCGGTGGAGGTCCCAGCGCCTGTTTGTGCAGGGTTGGGTCGTCTAAAACAGCACACACAGAGCGTCAACAAAGGGGAGGGATGGCGTGGTGGTGGATGGCGGGTGGTGGGGCGGCGTTGTTTGTGTAGGGTGGAGGGCCTCTTAAACAGCACGCAAAGAGCGTCCAGGAGGGTGGGGGTGTCAGACGTGGTGGGGGCGCGGTGGAGGTCCCAGCGCCTGTTTGTGTAGGGTGGGGAAAACAGCACACACACAGAGCGTCCACAAAGGTGGGGATGGCAGACGTGGTGGATGCGCGGTGGGGGTTCTGGCGCCTGTTTGTGTAGGGTGGATGGCCTGTAAAACAGCACGCAAAGAGCGTCCAGGAGGGTGGGGGTGTCAGACGTGGTGGGGGCGCGGTGGAGGTCCCAGCGCCTGTTTGTGTAGGGTTGGGGGCGTCTAAAACAGACACACAGAGGCGTCCCACAAGGTAGGATGGCAGACTGGTGGATGGCGCGGTGTGGTTCGGCGCCCTGTTTGTGTAGGGTGTAGGGCCTCTTAAACAGCAACTGCAAAGAGCGTCCAGGAGGGTGGGGGTGTCAGACGTGGTGGGTGGGGGCGGCCGGCCCCCCCCCCGCCCCGGGGTTTTTGGGGAAAAAGGTTTCCCCAGCGCTGTTTTGTGTAGGTGGGGGAACGAGGCTCCGACAGGCGTCCACAAAGGTGGCGATGGCAGACGTGTGGATGCTCGGTGGGGGTTCTGGCGCCTGTTTTGTGTAGGGTGGATGCCTGTAGAAACAACACCAAGAGCGTCCAGGAGGTGGGGTGCCGACGTGGTTGGGGACGCGGGAGGTCCCCATGGCCTGTTTGTGTAGGGTGGTGGAGGTCCTGGCGCCTCTTTGTGCAGGGGGGGGGCTTCTACAACGGCACACAGAAAGAGCGTCCAGGAGGGTGGGGGTGTCCGACGTGGTGGGAGCGCAGTGGGGGTCTCGGCGCCTGTTTGTGTAGGGTAGGTGGCCTCGGAAACGGCACGCAGAAAGAGCGTCCAGGAGGGTGGGGACGTCAGACGTGGTGGGGGCGCGGTGGAGGTCCTGGCGCCTGTTTGTGTAGGGTGGGGGGCGTCTAAAACAGCACACACAGAGCGTCCACAAAGGTGGGGATGCCAGACGTGTTGGATTGCGCGGGTGGGGGTCTCGGCGCCTGTTTGGTAGGGTAGAGGGCTTTTCAAACGGCACGCAAAGAGCGTCCAGGAGGGTGGGATGTCAGACGTGGTGGGGGCGCGGTGGAGGCGCGGTGGGGGTCTCGGCGCCTGTTTGTGTAGGGTAGAGGGCTTCGAAAACGGCACACAAAGAGCGTCCAGGATGGTGGGAGTGTCAGACGTGGTGGGGGCGCGGTGGGAATTCCGGCGCCTGCTCGTGTAGGGTAGGGGGCGTCTAAAACAGCACACAAAGAGCTTCCAGGAGGGTGGGGATGCCAGACGTGGTGGGAGCGCGGTGGGGGTCTCGGCGCCTGTTTGTGTAGGGTAGGTGGCTTCTAAAACGGCGCGCAGAAAGAGCGTCCAGGAGGGTAGGGATGTCAGACGTGGTGGGAGCGCGGTGGGGGTCTCGTCGCTTGTTTGTGTAGGGTAGGGGGCCTCGAAAACGGCACACAAAGAGCGTCCATGAGGGTAGGGATGTCAGACGTGGTGGGGGCGCGGTGGAGGTGCGGTGGGGGTCTCGGCGCCTGCTTGTGTAGGGTGGGGGGCCTCTAAAACAGCACACAGAGAGCGTCCAGGAGGGTGGGGATGTCAGACGTGGTGGTCTCGGCGCCTGTTGTGAGGGTAGGGGGCCTCGAAAACGGCCACAAAGAGCGTCCAAGGAGGGTGGGGATGTCAAACGTGGTGGGTCACGCTGTGGAGGCGCGGTGAGTCCCTGGCGCCTGTTTGTGTAGGGTGGTGGGCCTCTAAAACGGCACAAAAGGAGAGAGATCGTGATCCACCGCCGCTTTACTGTGGAAAATTGCCCGCCCTTTCCGCTCTGAACCGTGTTTCCCCCCCCCTCCTCCGAAATCCCCCCCCCCCCCCCCGCTGGACCCCCCCCCCCTCCCCCGCAACCCCCCCCCCTCTCCCCTTAACCCCTCCCATCAAAACCGGGGGGGGGTCACTACCCGTTTCGACCCCCTCCCCCCCTCCCCCCTCGAAAAGCGGGGGGGGGGTCACCACTGGTTCGAAGGCCCACCCCCCCTTCGAAAACCAGGGGGGTCACTACCGGTTCGAACCCCCCCCTCGAAAACTGGGAGGGGGTCGGGGGGGTCACTACCGGTTCGAACCCCCCCCCCCCCTCGAAAACCGGAGGGGGGTCACTACCGGTTCGAACCCCTCCCCACCCCCCCCACTCACCGCCAGCAAACGACTCCCGGTCCCTACCACCGTCCGCATCCACATCCCCCACTGTTGTTCCCAGCACCACTGTCCTCACCACCACTGTCCCCACTGGTTCCACCACCGTCCCTACTGTCCCCACCAGTGCCCCCACCACTGTCGCACTGTCCCCACTGTCCCCACCACTGTTCCCACCACGGTTCCACTCTCCCCACTTTCTCCACGGCCCCAACCACTGCCCGACTATCCCCACTGTCCCCACTGTCCCACTGACTCCTCCGCTGTCCCACTGAGCTGTCCCACTGTTCCCACCACTGTCCCCACTGTCCCCACCACTGTCCCCACTGTACCTCTGTCCCATTGTCCCACCGCCGTCCTCGCCACCGCCTTCACCACTGTCCCCGCCACCATTGTACCCTCCACTGTCCCACTGTTTCCACCTCATTCCCACTGTCCCCACACCACTGTCCCCACCACCACCGTCCCCACCACTGTCCACTGTCCCCACTGTTCCCACCACTGTCCTCACCACTGTCCCCACCACTACCGTCCCCACCACTGTCCCACTGTCCCCACCACTGTCCCGCTGTCCCCTCACCACTGTCCCCACCATCATCACCGTCCCCACCACTGTCCGCACCCCCACTCGGTTTTCGAGGGGGGGGGTTCGAACTGGTAGTATTCTCGTGGGGTGGGGATGCCTGGGCATGGTGGATGCCGGGGCGTGGGTTGCGGACGTGGTGGCAGGTGGATAGTGTCGAGTGGGGGTCCCAAGAACTGAGTTCTCGTGGGGTGGAAGGGCGAACTGGTAGTATTCTCGTGGGGTGGGGATGCCTGGGCATGGTGGATGCCGGGGCGTGGGTTGCGGACGTGGTGGCAGGTGGATAGTGTCGAGTGGGGGTCCCAAGAACTGAGTTCTCGTGGGGTGGAAGGGCCGGGGCGGAGTGGGAGGCATCGGTAGGTTTCGGGGTCTAAGAGACGGGGGTCAGTGCAAACGGGGGTCAGCCAGAGCGCCAGATCCTGCAGGATCCTGCGAAGGCCCCCTCTGGCTGACCCGGGTTATTGAGCCGCTCGTGGCCACGAGGCGGCCGCTCGTATTGGCTGACCCGGGTTTGCGAAGACCTGCGTTGCATTTTTTTTGTTTGTTTGTTTTTTTATGCATTGCAGTTTTTGTTTTTTTGCTGACCCGGGTCTGGATTGACCCAGGTCAGAAGATCCCCGAAGGTTTCGGGCCAGGAATGGTCGAGTGGGGGGGCGCAAGAGCTGCGTTCTCGTGGGACGGGTTCTCGTGGGGTGGGGATGCCGGGGCATGGTGGATGCCGAGGCATGGGACGCGGACGTGGTGGCAGGTGGATAGTGGAATCGCACACGCCTCTGGGGTCGGCGGATTAGGTCACCCCCGGGGGCGCGAAGATCGTCACGCTTCGCGCGCTGCGGCATCGGCTGGAAAGCTGCCTCTTGCAAGGTGGCCTCGCGAGGGCGCGAAGAGTTAGTCACGCATCGCGAGGCGCGAGGCGCGCAGTCAGGCAGGCGACCTAACATCGAGCTCATCCAAGACGTCCTCCCTTGTCTTTCAGCCGAAGGTGGCCAGAGAGGAAGGCATGGGAGCGGCGCGAAGGGTTCACAGGGAGGTACATGTACATAACTGTCGACGGTACAGGCGCGCCACTGCCGAGCTGTCTGGTTTCATGGCTCCACGGTTTCGTGACAGTGGGGTTTGCAGAGACACTCCCAACCCCACACGAGAGAGCAGGAAATAAGGAGACGGAGGTGGGGAGAAGAGGTGACGGGTGCAGCGGAGGTTGTTTTGTTTGTTGGGTGCGAGCCTTTGTTGTGAGCCTTGTGACGTTGGATCCCCCGATGTCGGACATGTTGATGGTGATGTGCAGAATGCGATTATCGTTAGTGCGCGGAGGACATGGCCGAGGAGTTCATTGACAGCGGCATCACAGAACTTGCAGAAGGACTTTTCAGCGAGGGCAGAGGGCTGAGCCTGAGAGGGGCTGGTTGACTGAAAGACGAGCCATGAGTAAATTGTAGACTCGAGACAGACGTGTCCGAATGTGAGTCGGGCAGAGGTTGTTGACCACGCGAATCTCAGCTTCTGGTACTCGTCGTCCTTCGCATTGTCTTCGTCATCGTTACGCATTCGATTGTGCTCCCGAGAGACATCCTGAGCCTCCTCTTGCCTCACTCCTCTCTTCAAGTGCGGCCTTCCATTCCCGCCTCCGTCCCTCCTCTCCCCCTCTCAGCAATTCAGCTCGAATCAGCTCTGGGCAATCATTGTCGAGCAGACCCCCTCTGATCAATCAGCTCTGGTCGATAATCGGCGGAATGCCGATGCCTCTCGGCGCTTGCGCGTTCGCCGCACGCGCCACGCCGCTCACTTCTAGCCGCCAGGCTGGCCCAGACTACGGCCTGGATGGCTCATCGATGGCGTCTGAGCGAGCATCGACCAGCAACTGCTGTCTTAGCGCACGCGTCCCAGATCTCCGACGATGTATGTTTTCAAGCCTGATGGTTTTTCGTCGATTTCGGCCTCCGCGGGCCGTTTATCGGGCCCCAGGACCATCAAACATTGATCCGAGGCGAAAAGCTGGCCCTGGGGAAGAGGTCGGAACCTTTAGGGCCGCGCATGACAAATGAACCCCGTGCGACCCCAAATAGGGAAAAGCTGACTATTGCATGGGTGCATTGCTTGGCATTGCTTCGCATTGCTTTGCATTGCTTGGCGTTGTTTGGCATTGTTTGACACTTGCTTGGCATTGATTGGCCCTGCTCGGAATTGCATGGCATTGCTTTGCGTAGATTGTCATTGCTTTGCATCGTTCGGCTTTGCTTGTCATGGCACTGCTTTGCAATGCCGGGGAGCCTGAGGGACAAGACCCGGGAGCCCCAGGAAAAAGAAACAAGACCAGGGAACCTGGGGAACCTGGGGAACAAGGCCAGGGAGCCCGAGGAATCCAAGCAAGGAACAAGGAACCCGAAGCACCCAAGCAATGAACAGGACCAGGGAGCCCGAGGAACAAGACCAGGGAAAATGAGGAACCCAAGCAGTGAACAAGACTAGGGAATCCGAGGAACGCGACCGGGGAAAACGCGGAACCCAAGCAAGGAACAAGACAGGGGAACCCGAGCAACCCAAGCAAGGAACAAGACTGGTGAACCCGAGGAAGAAGACCAAGGAACCCGGGGAAACCGAGGAACCTGGGGAAGCCGAGGAACCCAGGAAACCCGAGGAACCTCCAGGAACTGGGCAACGTAACAATAGGAGGCACCAGGGGCGGGGAACCCGAGGAACTCGAGGAAACCGAATCATCTCGGAGGAACGGGCAGAGTAACATTCCGAGGCGCCAACGTTGAACCAAGTAGAAACCCCCTCGGGCAAGCCTGATTGGGGAAATGTGGCTCTCGCCTGAGCGCCGCGCACATTCGTTTCAACAATTTGCAAGTGCTTCACGGATTGATGGCGGATCGTTCTCAACTTTTGGTTCTCGCTTCAGCGCCGCGCACATATGTTTCAAACATTTGCAAAAGTTTCACAGCTGGAGGCGGCTCCTTTTTGAAATGTGGCTCTCGCCTTAGCGCCGCGCACATTCGTTTCAACATGTTGCGGAAGTTACACGGGATCTCATGCTTAGCGCACCAGAATACGTGTTTGGGAAGGATTCAGGGTTGTTGGGGCGGAAAAGTACGTTGATTTGCGGTGCCAAGTCCCATGAGCGATGTTCTACCACGATTCAGGATCGTCAGTACGCAGCAGTCAGGCTTATTCGTGGCGTTGTTGTCCCGATAATGGTGTTTTGGCACGTTCCAGGATCTTCAAACGGTTGTCTCCCAACGGAACTTTCCCTGAGTGGACATGAATCCTTGTGGTGGCCTGCGAAGATGGAGCTTGGAGGGAGGGTTTCTTCGAACATCGTTGATGAGTCTTGGGTGTACGTTGGTCTTCCTCCTCCTCCTCCTGCTCTTTCTCCTCATCCTCTCGATCATTACTTGTATCTGGCCCACTCCACAACCCCCCGTTCTCGATGCTCTCTCCTCCCCCTCGGCCTCCACCTCGGCTTCATTTTTTCCTGGTCGATCGATCGGCTGGCTCGGTCGACCGATCGTGGTCGACGAGCGGCTGGCTGGCCAGGGCGACCCCGCGGTCGGCGGGGCAGGTTCGCGGGTGAGCTTGACGACGAAGGGGACGAGGACGAGGACGGCGACGGCAGCGACGGGGAGGGCGGGGACGAGCTGGAACGGCCGTGCTGGGAGGGAGAGGGGGGGGGCGTGGCTTGGAGAGGGAGGGCGAGTGAGGGAGACGAGGAGGAGGAGGAGGAGGAGGAGGAGGAGGAGGAGGAGGAGGCGGGGGAGGAGGACGGGGAGTGGGAGGGGGGGGGAAAAAGGAGGAGGATGAGGAGGAGGAGGAGAAGGAGGAGGAGGATAACGGCTAGAATCAGCCCAGCACGCACAAACACAAACAAACACAAACAAACAAAAACACACACACAAACAAACACAAACGCAGCAACACAAACACAAACACACAATCACAAACACACATACATACAAACACGCACACATACAAACTCACAAACACACAAACACACAAACACACACAAACACACACACAAACACACACGCACACATTAACACACACAAGCACACTCGCACGCACGCACGCACGCACGCCCACACACACCCACACACACACACTCCCTCACACCCACACACCCACGCACGCACGCACGCACCAAACGCACGCACGCTCGCACGTTCGCACACGCGCGCGCACGCACGCTCGCACGCACGCGCGCACGCACGCACGCACGCTCGCACGCTCGCACGCACGCACGCGCGCACGCACGCACGCACGCACGCGCGCGCGCACGCACGGACGCACACACGCACGCACGCACGCACGCACACACACACACACGCACACACCACACACACGCCACACACAACACACGCCACACATACACGCACACAGACAGACACACAGACAGACAGACCCACGCACACACCCAGACAGACACACACACACACACACGTACACACACGCACACACACACACACACCCACGCACGCACACACGTACACACGCACACACACGCACACACACGCACACACGCACACACATGCACACACACACGCACACACAGACGCACACAACACACCATACACAACACACCAGGCACAACCCACAACACACAGCACACAGCATACAACACACAACACACACCACACACACACAACACTCACCACAACACACACCACACAACACCTAACGCGCCACACACAACGCACACCGCACAACACACAACACCCAACGCACAACAAACAATACACAACACACCAAACAACACATACCACAACACACAACACAACACACAACGCAGCACACGACACAACTCACAGCAGACCACGCACATTACTACACATCACGCAACACACAACACAACACGCAACACAACACACACCCCAACATACACCACAACACACGCCGCAACATACCACACACCACACAACACAGCACACAACACAACACAACACACCACACAACGCACCACCCAACACATCACACAACACAGCACACAACACAACCCACAGCACAACACACAACACACAACACAACTCACACCACAACACACAATACAACATAACACAGCTCAACGCAACGCAACACAATGTAACACAAACCAACACACCACAGCACAACATACCACAGCACACCACACCACAACATAACACAAAACACCACACCACAACGCAACGACACGCAAAACAACGCAGCGCAACGCAGCACACCACAACACAGCACAACACACCACCACCCAACACACCACAGCATAACACAACACAACGCAACGCAGCTCACCGCAACGTTCCATCGCAACGCAACATACCACACCACAACACATACAACCACAACACAACATAACACAACACACCACAATACAACAGACCACAACACACCACAATACAATACAACACAACACAACGAAGCACACCACAACACAACACAACATAACACAGCACAGCACAGCACAGCACAGCCCAACACAACCCATACCACACAACCGAACACAACACAACCCAACAAACCACACAACACAACACACCACATACCACACAACACACACACCAACACAACGTACAACACAACAAACCACACAGCACAACACAACACACCACAACACACCACAACACAACAGAAACCCCCACAGCACACCACAACACAGCACACAATACAACACACACACCACAACACGCAACGCACAACACAACACACCCCACAACACACACCACGGCACAACACACAACACACCACACACCACGCAACACAACACACACCGCAACACACACCACACACCACACCACGCACCACGCACCACACACCACGCGCCGCGCACCAAATACCACGCACGACATACCACGCACCACGCGCCACGCACCACACACCACACACCACACCACACACCACACACCACACACCGCGCACCACACACCGCGCACCACGCACCACACACCACGCACCATGCACCACACACCACGCACCAGGCACCAAGCACCACACATCACATGCCACGCGTCGCACCACACACCACACACCACACGTCGCACACCACGCACCACACACCACACACCACACGCCACACACACCACGCACCACGCACCACACGCCACACACTACGCACCGCACGCCACGCACCACACACCCCACACCACACACCACGCACCACGCACCACACACCACACACCACCCACCACGCACCACACGCCACACAGCACACACCACACACACACCCACCACACACCACACACCACGCACCACGCACCACACGCCGCACAACACACACCACGCAGCACACACACAGCGCACCGCACACCACGCACCACACACCACACCGCGCACCACGCACCACACACCACACACCACGCACCACACACCACGCGTCACACGCCACACACCACACACCACACACCACGCACCACATACCACACACCACACACCACGCACCGCACGCCGCACGCCACACACCACGCACCACGCACCACACACCACGCGCAACGCGCAACGCACGCACTCACGCACGCACCACGCACCACGCGCCACGCGCCACGCACCACACGCCACGCACCACGCACCCCACACAACACGCCACGCGCCCCGCACCACACGCCACGCACTACGCACCACACCACGCACCACACACAACACGCCACGCACCATGCACCACGCGCCACACACCACACCGCGCACCACACACCACGCACCACGCACTATTCGCCACGCACCACGCACCAAGCGCCACGCACCACGCACCACCCACCGCATAACTAGCCACGCATACAGCACACAACACGCAACGCGCAACACACAAAGCACAGCACACAATACATAAC